TAGCAAAACCTGGGAATTTGGAAAGTCCTTGATTTCCCATCAACAACCAAAAACATCAGTATGGAATTGATGTTATTTTCTAACTAAATTCCCTATTGAAACCGATGTACAGCACTGTTGTAGGTGCTAACAAAGAAATTAGCTCTGTCCCAGCCGGAGCCAGGACACCCATGCACGCACGTTGGTGTGTGCAGGTGACAGAAAGACATCTCTGAAGATTCCACACTGCAGGTTCAGGCTTTAGAAAGGTACTGGGTGTCATTGACAGGCTGAAAGAGTTGGGGCTGTTCAACCTGGAGAAGAGAAGGCTCCGGGGAGATCTTATAGCAGCCTTCCAGTACCTGAAGGGGCTACAAGAAAGCTGGGGAGGGACTTTTCATAAGGGCAGTTAATGACAAAACAAGGGGAAATGGGTTTAAGCTGAAAGAGGGGAGGTTTAGATGAGATATTAGGAAGAAGTTCTTCACTGTGAGGGTGGTCAGACCCTGGAACAGGTTGGCCAGAGAAGCTGTGGCTGCTCCTCCCTTGGCGGGTTCCAGGCCAGGTTGGATGAGGCTTTGGGCAACCTGGTCTAGTGGAAGGTGTCCCTGCTGCTGGCAGGGGGGTTGGAACTGGATGATCTTTAAGGTCCCTTCCAACCCAAACCATCCTATGATTCTATGATTGGCTGGCACTGACACTGGTAAGCAGGCACATGGGAGGAGGTGGCATTTGCCGGAGTGGGCCAAGAGCGGCAGCTGGCGCAGGGTTTGGCAGCGGTAGGTGCCGTGCGGTGGGAGGCAGAAGCGAGCAGGCGCCCGGCGCTGTGCAGGATGACACCCACGCTCGGGTGCTGCTCTCCTCCAGGCAAGAGGGAGCAGTGGGCACCGAAAGGAGCCGAGCTTTGGGCGGTGTGGTCTTGGAAAGCCTTGCAAGAGCTGTAGGTTGTGAGGATTTTTCTGCTTGCAGAATTGACTCGTTTGCTTTCGGTCCCTTTCCATTGTGTGTGTCCCTGTATGGAGAACAGTGTGGGAAAGCAGTGCCAGCTCTGGTAGGAGCTATGAGTAGAGGTTGTAGGTGCAATTTTTGGAAAAGAGGTTTGTGTCCTACTTCCGTAGAGGAAGCAACGGCCAGATGTTTGGACAGCGATGTCCACAGGGAAGGCTGGGGCAGGCTGGACTCTGTAGCCTCGTGTGTCTCTCAGTGTGTCACCTTCATCAGGGGAAACTTGTCAAGCCTGAAAGAGGCTGAGATTGGAAGCCCCAGCATGTCATACAGGGAGCAGAATGACTTGCTGGGTGTGTGTGTTTGCCTCCAGTTGTCATGAAGCGTGGTTCGGAGCCACGGGTGGTGCTGAGGAAAGACTTGGTGGAGCAAAGAGCCCAGCAAACAGGTCTCAAGAAGGAACCTGCAACTGTGTCGGGATCAAAACTGAAGGTGGTCAAGGTAAGGAGGCCGTTTGGAGCTCACGGTGTTTCAGATGTGAAAGCAGACGTCAGCTGTGAAATCTGGCAGCATGCAAGATGCAGCCCAATGGAAGGTGTTGCTTGCCAAGGGGACCAGAGCTCCCAGCAGATGTCTGTTGCCCAGCAGCCCCGGCATGGCACTGCTCAGGGATGCCACTGGCTGACCGAGGCGGGTGGCTTTGGACCACGGCATTGCCAGGGCGGTTGTCCTGTGCAGAGGGAGGAAGGAGGCTGGAGGCAGCTCAATCCAAAGTCAGGAGATACGTAGGCTTGGCTGATCTTTTTATGTCTGCTCAGGTTGATGACCATGTTCCTACCGGGGGCTCACGTGGGGCTGCTGATGGGGCAGTGAGCTTGGAGATGGCTGATGGGACTGACCTCGGTGAGAAGATGGTATGTCGGTGACAGCAGTTAGTGATAGAACAAGGGGTGATGGCTTTAAACTGGAAGGGGGGAGGTTTAGATGAGATATTAGGAAGAAATTCTTCACTGTGAGGGTGGTCAGATGCTGGAACAGGTTGCCCAAGGAAAATGTGGCTGCTCCTCCCTGGAAGTGTTGAAGGCCAGGCTGGATGAGGTTTTGAGCAACCTGGTCTAGTGGAAGGTGTCCCTGCTGCTGGCAGGGGGGTTGGAACTGGATGAGCTTGAAGGTCCCTTCCAACCCAAACCAGTCTATGATTCTATGACTCTATGAAATAGTACCCAACGCTTGTCAAGAGTTGATCGTTGTCCACCACATTGTATAAATAAGAGATTGGCACCAGGGCTCCACGGGAACGTGGTGGAGGATGAGCTACATATTTCAGGAGCCAGGGCATGCCGGGCATCTGCTGGAGTGTCTCTGGACCCCAGGACATGCAATGGCACATCCTTTTCCCCTTCCCACTGAAGGTCTTTGAAGGTGTGTTCCCTTGGGCAGTCAGGGCTGATCCCAAAGGCCAACTAGAGTTGGTGAGGACAGAGACCTTCACCAACCAACATGCCTGCTAAATGATGTGGGAGAGGCTGCGGAGCGATGGAGGTGGCTGCCAGAGGAGTTGACTGTTGGTAGTGTGATGGGTGGGTTGTGATAGTGGGTCTCATCTCTCCAAAAGGTGCAGAAGAAATCCCATTAGGGAAAAAAAGCACATTTTTGAGAAGGAAAAATGCTGGCCATGTTTTGAGGAGGGCTCAGCAAAGCTTGTCCAGGGAAAGCAGATGTGGAGAGGAGACGAAGGGGAAGGCAGGCAGGAGTTTCCTGGGGACATTGTCATCTCCCTCAGCAGAGTGGAATGAAGCAGCTGGGGTCCATGGGGTGAAGTGTCGTGGTGGAGGACGTGGCAGGCCCTGTAAGTCAAGTGTTGTCTGTTTTTCCTGCAGTACCTGGACGTCATCGGGGCTCTGGGCAGGCTGATGAAGATGAAGGAGCTCTCAGGAATGCAGTCTCTGAAGCACCTGCCTCAGGAGGAGAGAGACAAAGCGGGACTGCAGAGACGGAAGGACCTGGAGCTGCTGTACGAGAAGATCAGGAACCTCAAGAGTCGCCTGGAAAGGAAAGAGGAGATGCTGAAAGATTACGAGGCCAGCATGGAGCAGCTGAGGTATCAGAAGGCAAAGGGGCTGTTGGTGGCCATGGGTCTGAGTAAGACCTTGTCTGGTCTTACGGATGATGGGGAACTCGGGGAAAGGAGCCGGGCAGCCCCGTGCCGGGTGATGCATCTGCCTGGGACCGGTCATGTTGTGACCTCAGTCTATAAACGAAGCCTTAGGAGAGAGAGAGAAATGTCCTCTGGGTTGTGTGCAGTGATGCCTCGCAGGGCCCTGTGCAGTGTCTGAGTCAGGGAAACCTTGGCAGACCCCACGGCTGGGGTGTCCAGACCCTGTGACAGCAGTGGCACTGGCTGGGACAGTGGAGGGATGGGGTCAGCAGGAGCAGGACAGGCGTGGGAGCTCGTGGGAAGGGCTGTGGAGACCAAAGGTGATGCTCCAGCTCCAGGAGCCACCGCACGTGTCCGGGAGCGGGGAGGAACCCTCGGCAACGCTGGCACCAGCCCCGCTGCTGCTCAATGCAGAAGTGGGTTTGCCCACAGCACCAGAAGAAGCGATGGAGATAGAAATGAGTGGGCTGGTGTAAATAGGTTGTTGTGGGTAAAGTCAACCAGAGGTCCAGTAGCGCCCTGCAAGCCAGCAGTGGTGACACAGCCACCCTGAGTCCCACCCAGGGCTGACTGGGTGAAGAGAAGGGACGGTGGCCATTGCCATGGGTGAGGTGGGTCCCTGGGGGTAGGTGTGAGGGGGGGAAGCCTCACAGAAGCAACATCTGGGTGTCCATGAAGGCAGGAGGAGAGGGTTTCTCCGTGGTGTAAGGATGTGGAGCGAGGAGAACACTTGCTAAAGCACGTGCAGGTCCTCACAGGGCAATAGCTGCTCTGGTGTCACTGGTGGTGTGGGAGGTTCTAGGAGGGACACAAGCATGGTATGCTGTCACTGGAGAGCCGTCTCTCCCAGGCTGAGGCCAGCTGGGTTTTAGGACATGGATGTGGTGACAGACACACCTCCTTCCGTTATGCACAGGCTGAACCAAGCATCGCTGCAAAGGTGCCAGGAGGAGATGTCCAAACTGGAAGATGAAGCCTACAGGGAAGCAGAAGAGAAGGCTCTGCTGAGAGAGGCCCTGGAGAGGACACAGCTCCAGCTGAACCAGGAGAAGGTGCTGCGAGCAGCCAAGCTGCAGAAGGTGAGGAGGTGGGAGCAGGCGAGCAGGGCCCCCGAGGAGACCTGGAGCCCCAGGAGCCAAATGTCCCCATGAACAAGCGTCCGTAGGGGCAGGTCAGAGTGTTCATCTGGAACCTCTGAGATGAGTGAGGTGCTACAAGACACATCTGCACCTGTGGTGTAGGAAGGCAGAGGAGATGCAGTGTGTAGCCCAGTGTGAAGGTGCCCAAGGCAAGTTCTGGAAGTAGAAGGACTGTGACTCGTGGTGTTAGGCAGAGCCTCGCAGAGGACAAGGCGAAGGAGCCTCCAGGCTGTGGCCGCTCTCTGGAAGGCCAAGTTGAGAAGGTTCAACACTCTCCAGTCACTCAGTTGCACGCAGTGGTGGTGAAGCAAAGGGGATGAGGCAGCGAGCGGTCCCCTGCCCCAGGAAACGTCCCCCCTTTGCCGGTGCAGCCACGTGATGTTGCTCTCTCTGAGATGGTTGTTTGGGTGGCATTTGGTAAACCGAGCACAGGGGTTGGGTTTATGGTTGGACTCGCTGACCCTAAAGGTCTTTTCCAACCAAAGGGAACTGCCAACACCAGGCCAAGAGCTGGGAGTTCCATGTGGTACCCAGCTTCTGGTCTTTATGCAGCAGCCAGCTCCACATGCCAGGGACTTGGGATGTCACGGTCCCTCTGTCCCAAGAGCATCCCCTGTGCCACAGCTGGAGGGTGATGCGGGAGTTTGGGCCACGTAGGGTGAGGGAGAAGGGAAGCTCACAGGCATTCCATGGGCAGTGTGAAGCTCTCCCGGGTGAACATGCTGTTTGCTGTCTCTCTCTTCTGCAGCCTGGAGCCAAGAAGCCTTTCTGCTTGGGGAAGCTGAAGGCCAAGGAGCACAGGGCAGAAGCTGTCAAGAAGGGAAGCGCGTAGGAGAGGCACCACGTGGGCCTTGGGTTGGCAAAGGTCCACGGTCAGAATGGGTCACAGTGCTGGGGACTCTGTAAGGGTGGCCGTGGTGCGAGGTGTGGGTGTGTGTTGAGGGATCCCGCAGTTCCTGGGCACGCTGGCGTGACTGTAGGGTGGGTCGGACCCGGTTGTCCCACAGCATACGTCCCATATGGCACGGTGGGGTTTCTGGCAAGAGAAGAGGCTGTGTGGATGCAGCCCAGCGTGTGTGTGTCTGTTGTCCTGGTTTGTAGCTGGGACAGAGCTGGGTTCCGTTCAGCAGTTCGAGCAGCGCTGTGTGGTGGTTTCAGCTGGGATTTGTTAGGAGAAAAGTGTTAATAACATCCCAAAGTTTTCATTTGGTCGCTGGAAGCTGAAGGACTTTGTGTTTGTCCGTCTGCAAGCGCAAGATCTCAGGGGGGTGAGGAATATTGCCATGGATCAGCTCCATGGGCATTGGGCTCTGCCAAGGGGCTGTTCCATCTCCTGTCCCCCATGGGCAGGAGATCCATGAGGGTCTCTTCCTCTCTTGCTCTCTCTGGCTTTCGCTCGGGCTCTGGCTCTCCCGGGATTGGCGGTTTCGGTTCGGGATTGTCGCTGTTCCGGGATCGTTATCAGAGAATAGAGTGGGAGTGGGCTCGGTTGGCAGGTGGGGAGCAATTGCAGTGTGTATCACTCAGTACTGTAATTATTTTACTATTATTGTTATTGTGTTTATTTTAATGTTGTTATTTAAAAAAAAAATAGTATTTCAATGATTAAATTGTTGTTATCTCCTCCTAAGAGTCTCCTTACCCTTGCCTCCCAGTTCTCT